TATATATGCAAATAATTTTATTAAATGAACATAAAGAGATTATTATAAACAGCCTGTTATCAAATTAAATAAATATACGTAAATCAAACTCCCTTTTTGCAAGATAATAATTGATTATAATTGTATTTGATATAAATTTGTTATATTTTAGGTAACACCAAATTCTTTCGAGTTTATCTAATTGTTGTTTTATCTAAATAAAATTTATTTCTAATAAATATAATAAATAACAATTCATTATTGAATTTGTTCAATAATTTTCGAACGTCGATGAAAATTAATTGAATTAATTGAAATGTGCGAGAGGTAAGAGTCATATAAATTAAATAAAATTATCACACACGTTTTACCTGAACCTATCGGTTATCTATATATATATATGTAAATATTGTAAATAAAATATTTTCCTGTAATTTGTTAAAGGACAAAAATAAGTCACAAAAAAGCCGCCCCCTCTTTCTTTTTTTCACTATCTTTCACTATTTTTCTATAAACTCGGAGTCGTGTCCCTTAAAAAAAAAAAAAAAAAAAAAAAAAAACAAGATAATCTTAGGTTAGTTTTTCAAAACTACAAAATGGCGATTTGTTTTGTGTGAAAGAGGGTAGAGGGATAAATAATATTATTTTCCCCATATTTCTAATTTGCTTAAATTGAATTAAAAAAAAAATAAACAACTAAAAAATAATAATAATAATCATATCAAGTAAATAGTAATAAACTAAAAATAGTTAAATAACAAAACAAAAAAAAAGAAAAGTAATAAACAAAAGACAAAAAGTTGGGATAATTCGATTGGCTAGGACGAGGAAGCGGAGGATCCATGTCAGGCACGCGTCCATTCGGACAACCGCTGGTGTTGATGACCCAGGAGTCACCACCTTCGACCTCGTCGTCGAGGTCACCAGAGACTCCGATTATGCGCAGAGAGCTGAGCGTCAACAGGAGACGATGACCCTCGATCGAAACTACATGCATACATTCTTCTTTTCTTTCTTTCATTATTTCATTCTTTCTTTTGCTCCCCTTTTACACCCCTTTTGTTTTATTTGTAACGTACACTTATGGAAAGAAAAAAAAAACCAAAATATATTTAACAATAAATATTTAACATATCGTTTACATATTGATGCATCGATTACATATGTGCACGAGTACACAATTTTTATATATATTACAATATATATATATATATTATAGTAAAGAATTGTTCTCGTGGCTCGGTGCTAGAGTCTCAGATTCGTATTCGCGATATCGCGAGTTCGAATCCTGGCAGTTCCTTCACAAATAAAATTTATTTTTATAAAATATAATAATAAAATATATAATATAAATAATATATATAATATTATATGTATATAATAATGTATTATATATTATATTTTATTATAAATTATATTATATAATAATAATATATAATNGTTAAAGAATTGAAGAGCAATTGAAATGTGACACGGATGAATCATCGTTAGAAAAGAAAAACAAAAATGAACGTCAACGTCGATGAAACATATCATTGGATAAAAGAATAAAATTTCGATTGTTTTTCTTTTTTAATAGAAATGAAATTAGAAAATATCGTACAATTGATAACAATAATAATAATAATAATAATAATAATGCTTATAACGAAATGTAAAGCACCGCATAGCCCTCAACGTAGACGCGAGAGATTGAATTTGAGAATGAAGAGTCTCAGTTTGGATTCACCGGAAGGTACAGCACACGTACGTCATCGTCCAAGAGATTATTATACTTCTGGTCAAAGAGAATCAACCCCACCTAGACATTCTGACAGTGGAAGTATCAATAGATTATGTGAGTAGACAAAAAACAAAACAAAACACTTGAAATCTGATATCACTTTTTTTTATTTAGAATAATACGAATTTATTTCTTTATGAGAATAAGCAAATTATTTTTCCTCGTCACGCGTTGATACGTATGATACCTGCAGAGACAAAATATTTAACCGATCTTCTTCGCAGCTCCATGCAGTCCAGGTCAAGGTCATGCTATGCATAAACACATAAGGAGTGCCATAAGAACGTCTAGCGTTGAATTACCAGACGAGAATGACAAATGTTATTCTTCTGCTAGCACGTCACCTTGTCCTTCGCCACATCCAAATAATCAAAATCATATGAATCCACCTGGAAAACGTGTACTTCCTCCTAATAATCTTTACGTTGTATTGTACAATTTCGAAGCACGTCATCGCGACGAACTGGACTTAAAGTGAGAATCATCTTCATTAGAAATATAATATACATATACTTGTAAGATAAAGATATATTGTAATGGTTTGAATGTTTGTAGGCCCGGCTACAAGGTAACTGTAATCGATAAATCTGAGAAAGATTGGTGGAAGGGTAAATGTCTTGGTGGTCGTGCAGGATATTTTCCCAGTGCTTACGTCATGAGAGTTGAATCTGGCCAAAAGACTCTTCAGGTTACACGTAACCTGCAACTTAAAGATCAGATTACTTTATTGAGAGATCAGGTAAAAAAAAAGGGACCAAAACAAAACAAAACAAATAATGAAAGACAATTGAATGATCTGATAAAATTTCAATGATTGTTCATAGATCGTCATCCAAGTTGGGGAAGAAGTTGATGGTGTTGCTATGGTGAGATTTGCGGCTGACGTTAGATCGGCCGAACATATCGGTAAAGAGGGTGACGTATTGTACAACGAAACCCTCTGTCCATTGATGTACCTTCAAGAGGTGTGACAGCAACCTTATCAAGGCACTCGCATGAACATGACGAGCGAACTACAACATTGCGCTAATCTTCGCAGCCATTTTGCTAATCCGATGCGCCGTAGCGTCGTTGAAAAGTATTACGATTGTCTCCAATGTGCCGAGCAATGTCGTCACACCGTTACCAATAATAATAATAATAATAGTAATATTAACAATAATATTAATAATAATAGTAATAGTAATAATAATAATAATACTAAAAATAATGCCAAGAGTAGTAACAAAAATAATAATAGTAACACTAGTAACAGTAATAATAGTAACAAGAATATCAATGCTAAGAGCATGATCAATGGTAGTAGCAATAAGGAACGTCCAATAACTAATTTGGACAATTGTTCGATCAAGAGTAAAGATTCTAATAGAATGTTAACACCCTATAATGACTCATCGAGACGTTATTACAACGCTCGTAGCAATGACCAATTAATGAAATATCTATCGAGGAATCATCAGATTCATTTGACACCAGCTAGAAAAAGATCGTCCCTAGCTAGGCCAGTACGCGTTCACGATTCTTTCGTACAACCGAAAAAATTGATTACCAGTGGTTACACCGTCCAACATCATCGTCAATATCAACAATTCTATCACCAACAGGACCATCAAAATCAACAACAACAACAACAACGACGTCATCAGGAACTCGTTCAAAAACAACAACAACAACAGCAACAGCAACAAGAGCAACAGCAACAGCATGAACAACAACAATTACGTCAAGGTACTTCAAACATGTCAGATTATGCTTACGAGGATGAAGAACACGTTGAGGAAGAAATAACATGGCCGATTCGACTTAGATTAGAACAAATGTTAGAACTTACCCTACCTCAGGCTAAAAGATGTAAGAAGAAGAAGAAAAAGAAAACAACTACGATGATGTTAATGAAACAGGAACAAAATGGCAGACACGGTTTTAAGGACACCGACAGATTATTAAAGGTGCTTAGCGTTAACAACGTGGACCAAGATAATAGGTACAACGTTAAACGGTGTTCCATCATGTAAAAATGATTTTATGGAACATACCGTTCATTATTTATAATATATTATCGTTATCACATTATATAAATATATATCTATATATATCGTTATCATATAGGTATATATAGCATATACATATACAGCGTATCTTTTAATCGAAATTCAAAAAAGGAATATTTATAATCCTACCACAAAACAAAGCATTACTTGTTTTGTTTTTTTTTTCTTACTAAATTTCACGATTTTTTTATTACTGAAAAAAATTAACAATTATTTATCAATCTTGTCAATAACTCGTCGGCCTATAAACATATTATATTATATTATATTATATTATGCAGACACGAGCCTATTTATACACTTATACATCTTTTTTCATTTATTTCAAAGTAAAAAACGAAGCATTTCATAAAGAAACATTAATTATACAGTAAGAATCGATGAAATCATTGAAAATTCGAGCATTTATAATTTACTTCTCTCTTATATAATTAATAATTTATTTCTTAAGACTATATACATCATATTACATAAATATATATATAAGTATATAATATATATCATTGATCATATATAGTTTATTATTTGCATTTGTTTTTTTTTTTTTAAACACGATAAGAATAATTCGCACTTTTGTCGTTGTTTAACGAATGCTTTCATCGTAACCTCGCCGAAATATATTCTGAACCCTCCTCCCCCTATTATAGTATAGAAAAACAAATAAAAAATGAGAGAGAGAGAGAGAGAAAAAATAAAGTAAGAAAATAACAATTGTATTAGAATTAAGAAAGATATGAGATGATCTATCATTTTATCGTACGTTCTCTAGCAAATATTCATATATAGTATATAATATATATATATACAAATATCTACACGTAAAGAAACATGTGCAAAAAAAAAAAAAAGAAAAAATAATCATAGTCAGAAACATAATAATACATACACGTGATATATCTAAGAGTGCCCTTCCCTTATTAAAATAATAATAAATAAAAAAAAACTCTGTATCGAATTATTGCACCGTTGAACAAAAATAAATGAATGAATGACAACGTAAATCGAATCAATTGAATTTCATATTACAGTATACATGTTCTGAGTAATTTCACTTCATTTTGCACTAGTTTCTTTTTTTTTAATGACTAATTAATTAACACATTGACACAAAACCGGCCCCGGTTTCTGAGACTGTCGCTTGAGCGCCCTGGCCCCAGTTTCTGAGACTGTCTTTGAGTAGCTGCCCCTTTTTTTTTTGCTGGTATGAGTGTCTTACACATTGATTTGTATTTACTTGCCATGTTTACGCCAATCTTCATTTGTTATACCACATTAAAGCTCAGGCTTAAAAATGTCTCTTAGGTCGCCAGCTGGCAATGTGTTAATTTACAGTGTCACACGTGTGACCTATCTCAAATACATACGATTCGATTTGATGTTGAATACAAAGATAAAACACACACGTACACACATTAATTAGCGTTAAACGGTGCTAATTAACAATATTATCTGTATAATAGAGAAATAAGTTGGTTTAATCCTTTCGTCATTACGGGCGATTATAGACGCTCTACATAAAATGCCACTCACATAATACGGGCCGCGTATAAGCGGAAATATCACGGCGTAGTAAAAGTCGGCCGTATCGAAAGGGTTAAAAATTACACATACCAAGCCCAGTATTTTCTAAGTATTATAATTGAAAGAGAAAACAAAACAAAACAAAACAAAACAGATATATATATGTATACATACACATGCATATGAAATGAAAAAGTATAATCAAGTAAATGTGACCATTTACTAAACTACCACCACTACCGATATAATTATTAGTAGTAATCATAAATAAATGAAATAAAAAAATATCAAATGAGAGTAAATATTAATTGATAACCGTATATATAAGTAAATGTTGGAAAAAAAAAATTTAAAAAAAAAATCAAGTAAAATGAGAAAAATTAAATGGTAAATTTGAAAAAATGACAAAATGATAAAAAATAAAATAATCGATTTAATTGTACGTGTAATATTTCATCGTGTGCCATTTCATCGTAATTTCATCACATGAACACATTTCATATATATATATAATTATATTAATGAGTCTGATTGATTTATAATAAGTGTGAGACCTTTTGGTAAATCAACCAATGAAAAAAAGTGTTTTATTCGAATAATAGACTGCACGAAATATATATTATATATATATATATCAAAAGATTTATCTTTATTTAGAAACCTTCCCTCTATATAATAAATAATCCTAATGAAACGAGCACAAAAACACACACATTATTTGGGTATAGAAAAAGAAAAATAATGAATTAACAATTTAGTTCTACGATGGTTTTATTTATCTTTCCACTTGTCTGATTATTTGTTTGTAACAAATTAACGCATCAAACAAATATAATAATAATAATAATATTGAAAAATGATCATTGTAATCATAAATGATTGATATAATCTAATGAGAATTGTAGGAGAAGCTGAAAAGAACGTAGATAAAGCGTACAGGCGGGGGGTGTAACTCGTGTGAATAAAAAAGAAATAAAATAATATCGTTATATTTTGATTATCGATATAAAAAAAAACAAAGAAATATCTAGAGATTAAAAAGACAATTAATTAATTATTTCGCTTAAAAAGGCAACGGCAAAAACAACAGTCTCTAACCTCTATTATTATACAATGTTGTTGTTTGATTGATTTAGAGCTTGTATTTTGCACCACGAATGATCGGGAATTTGTCACCGTTGCAAACACCACGAAAATCATCCAAAGATAAATCAAATATAGCAACACCACCCAATCCTTTTGCTTTAACGTAACTAGCTTTATTGCCAGCAGTGTCAGTATCTTCAAAACCAACCCAAAGACCTTCAGCACCGGAATCAGCGTTGTACGGTTCGTATGCATAACTACCATACTTTTTCGATGGATCATTGACTCTTCTCAAACGTCCCAAATGTGTTTCAGTTAATTTCGTACAAACTTCAGCGTATGAGAGTAATCCTGGAATACCGGAATGAGGTCCTGGTTCACCTGGACCTTCGGCTATTATCGGTGGTACACCAGATATTTGACTTTCTGATGTTAATTTCCATGTTCTTGCATATGTTGGAATACCTACTACTATTTTAGTACCTGGTGTACCATTTTCCAGCCAATATCTGTGTGATGAAACGTTGATACAACAAAATTACTAATCATATTTAATTGTTTAAATGAATTTTACGATTTTATTCTTTTTTTACCTAACTGACGAATCAATATTGTCCTGTGGAACACGTCCATAACTTTCGTATACTGGTGCTGGATAATCGGCTTCTTTTGGATTACGTTCTGGTGTTTTTTGATCGAATGCTAACAAATGTACAGCATCGAGATTTGGTGTCAACAATCTTGCCTCGTAATAAACTGTACATAAAAAAACAAATATTATTTTATTAAATATTAATTAGATTTCAGTTTCGTTTCTTTTCTTTAAGGGGGGCGGGCGGTGGGGGTGGGGGTATTCTGGTCTAGAAATTTGAAAAAAATCGATTTTGTATGTCCATTAGATATAGAATATGTACATTATAGATAGTGAAAATATTATTTGTCGTCTTGTTGTTATTACACTTGAAAAAGGTACCTAAAATTCATGCCTCTAGATCAGAATACCACCTTAATTACGTCATCTTGTGATTTTCCTTATACTCAAGTATGTGTTTGACGACTAACACATTAAATAAATTATCATTCATAATGAGATTTGAAAACTGGACGATTAAAAAAAGAAAAGAGAACAAACATATATATATATATATATAAAAACACATACCACTAGAATTAATATGTGGAAGTACAGTCAATGTAAGAGCTTTTCCTTTAGGCCTCAATTGTGACTTCAAGTCACGAACCATTATGGTAAAACCATCGCGATGTTCTTGTTCCTTCTCATCCTTGAATTTTCCATAACCAAATGTCTTTTTGATACCATGCCATAGGGAACCCCATGTACCACGATTTTTCTTTACTTTGACCGGTGGAAATTGCCAACCTAAATCTACACCGTCGAAATCATAATCGGTCAACATACGGTTCACTGAATTGATGAACTTTGATCTAGCCTCTGAGGTCTCGGTCTGTTGAATCAAACAAATATTGATAAGAAATAGATAGAATTATTTATAAGTAATGTATTATTTCTTTACTTATCATAGTTGAACGATACAATTTTAATCTATCGAAAATTATAGGAAAATTTTTAATCATTATTATTATTATTATTATTAGTAGTAGTAGTAGAAACATTATATTCTTTTTAATGATTCGTTAATTAAGAAAGACTTTTATTATTAATATTATTTTTATTATAACAAAATTATTAATCATCTGGTTGTTTTTTTTTTTTTAAGTAGTAAATTATTTTATTAAATTTATTGATAAATTATTAATTTTAATTATTAATTTATTTATTATTAAAATTAATGTAATAATTAATTTATCAATAATTTTAATTATTAATTTACATTATATTATTAAATTATTAATTAAATTTATTTTAAGGATTATTTCATATATATATATATATTGGATTGTTCGGAAAGTAATTTCGTTTTTTTTTCTGACACAATTTTAGCATTACTTGATGCAAACTGGCAAATAACAATACGTGAGTTCAATGAGTGATTAAATTTATCTAATTCAATTGTTTATGCTTACTCAAAAGACTTAGGTTTAATCTCAAAGTGAAAATGACTTTTATTTTTTCAAAGAAAAAAAAAAAAGACGAAATTACTATTCGAACAACCCGATAAATAAAAAATAAATTATGAACTCACGATAATAACTTACCAATGTTAAATATTTGTGAGTTTCCTCATAAGGATCGGCATTTCCACCAATTCCAAGATAAACTTTAAGATCTGGGAAAGATCTTTTCAATTGTGTACTCAATCTGTAATAAGCGTAACCAGCACCGGTATCCAAATTTGGATTCAATGGGACAACTTCGAACGTTTCGGGATTGATACCAGCAAATCCATAGATTAAATGTGTACAAAGTGATAATGCAGGTCTAACATCCTCAATTTGGAATTTTCCAGGTCCTTAAAAAAAATAAAAAACAAAAATATATTCGTAAGATAAATCAAACGATCTATCTTCTCGATGATTTTCTCTTTTTTTTTTTTTTTTTTTTCTTTTCAAGGATGTAATAATTTCGATAAATAGAAAGTTACATCATTGGAGAAGGAGAAAGTTGCTTTCACGTATTTCGCATGTCATTTTAATAAATTATTAGTCAATCAGTCTGACACACACGTCTTTAAGTTAACGAATTATCCTTTATCGCCATCTGTTAGAATCTTATCGAACTAACAGAGATAATCATGACTCTTTGTTAATAAACAAATAATATTGCGATTATAAATTGAGATTATAAACTATCCTATCTTTCAAGTTGGATGAAATTGCACAAAGTGTGCTAAATTTGATTAAAATCGGTTCAGTAGTTTAGGAATCCATTGCGGACAAACAACGTGACACGTAATTTATATATATATTAGGTTTATTATAATTAATGTAAAAATATACGTTGAAAATTGTTGATTAATTTGTTAAGTAAATTTAAACGATCAATTGAAATATTTTTAACAATTTCTTATCAATACATATATAAATGTTATAAATAGATTATATATTTTTTGTTTCCATTCACTTATAATGTTGTTAAAATAATATTTACCTTGTCTTTCGAAAGATGTAACGTTCCAATAACAAACGACCTTGTTATGCTCATGAGTATCAACGGCAAATGATGCCTCAAAAGCAAACACGGCCAATGCCGTGAAAAATAATGTCTTCATGTCTCTTTTATTCTATAAAATAATCAAAAGAACAAAATTCACATTATGAACAACAAATAAAACACAATGGAAAATTAATAAAAATTCAAAAAAAAAAAAAAACGATTTTAATACTTCGTTGAAGTGTTGACAATAAAAAATTACGTGAAAATAACAAAAAAAAATAAAAATTTGCAAAAAATGCAAATGCAACAAAAACCTTTTACGTGTACGAGATTAAATATTAATTATATTTAAAATAAAAAATATAAATAAAATTAATTAAGTATTATGTTAAAAAAAAAAAAAAAAAAAACGATCTTACCTTCAACGTAGAAGGATTCAGACTGAACGATCCGAGCTACTTGTCAAGGACTTTCTTATGTTCGTGCGATCTTTGAAATTTGAAGTGGGGGAAGAACCAATGGATTTACGTCAAACCATCTCTTCTCTACAATCTCTCATAAACTTCCCAGCAACATTCTCTTTTAAATATATATATATATATATATATATATATATATATATATGTTAACGTAGTTATAATGTTTACATACATATACATGTATATATGTGTTTTTTGTTGTATGTATGAGTAGATACGAGACAAGGTTAGAGGTCCTCGAGGTGTCGAGAAGCATTTAAATGAACAAATTTCTACAGAAATTCAATAAAAAGTAAAGAAACAACAACAAATTGTGATTATTGCAAAATCTTGAATTAAAAACCTTGAAAGAATTTTCTTCTTTTTCTTTTTTTTTTTTATATTTTTTTATTTTTTTTATTTTAAAACTCGATGAAATAAATTCTATCTTATCATTTGAAAGAAACAGATTTATATATTTTTTTGTTATGTTGTATCATATCTTTGAATATTTTATTAGTTTAAAAAAAGAAAAAATATTCCCCTGTTCAATATTTTCCTTCTACGATCATCGTGATCTGTATGTATAAAAAAAACATAACAAAACAAAACAGAACAAAAAAATACAGAATATAAAATCGAGGTGAATTATTCGTCATCGTTAAAATCGATAACTTATTGTTTCTTTTCATTTCATTTCATTTCATTACTTCTTCCTTATAACGTGTATAGAATGATTAAACATACGTGTAACATATATGATATACTTAGACGTTCTATTAGGAACGTGTGTGTACATGTGAAGAATAAGTTCTAACGAGATAATTTGAGGTAACTATCCGAATATGTTATCAAGATGAACGATGAGATCATCGTGATCTTAAATAAAAGTACTTCTTCTAAGATGTTTTCTTCATACGTATTTAAAGTCGTTTAAGTTTTGAAAATATAACATATATATATATTTATATATATATATATATATTTATTGTAATATATATATATCATTATATATATATATACACACTGTATATATTGCAATATATATAACATATATATATATNTTAACACTAGATTGCCCAAGGCAGTCATTTTGACTGTTTTTTATTTTCAATTAGAAAAACAATTATGTATATATAATTGTATATAATATATATACAATTATAAAATATACATTATATATAATATAATGTTGTATAACTGTAAATAATATAAGAAATATTAAAAATTAATTTTAAACAAATTTGTTTACACATTAGTTATTTTTTCACAATGCAGTCATTTTGACTGTTTTTGGGCAATATAGCTATACAAGAAATCTCGGGCAATCTAGTGTTAATAAGAAATACTAAATCATAGAAATAATATTATCGTGTATATATATTTGCATTACATTATATATTACATAATATTATAATATAGTAATATAATATAATATAATATAATAAATATTATAAATACTAATTACATATATATATAAATGGAATTAAAAAAGAAAAAAAAAAAAGTTCAAAAGTTTTACTTAGAAACAAATAGATAATATATAATATATCTGTAATAATATATAATATCTATGAGAGAGAGAGAGAGGGAGAGAGAGAGAGAGAGATTTAGTATTTCTTAGTAATCTCTTTCATTAGGATAAATTGTAAGGACATATTCTAACATGAAATCTATTTGCTCGTGATTCTGACTCATTGCTGTATTAATATTATTACATAAACTCTACTAGAGTGTATATATAACATAGTATATTCGTTATCCGTTCTCAGAAGTTAATTTGCAAGACGACCATTGGCGACCTGAAATCATAAATTTACAAGATAATCGGTCAGGACGTTTAAAGTCACTTTAATTCGATCATGTATAATAATAATAATAATAATAATAATAATAATATTAATAATAATAATAAAAACAACAATAACAACGATGAATTTAATCAAATTATGATTTCCTCTTTATCTTTTTTTTTGTTTTCTTGTTTTTTTTTTTTTCAATTCCATGAAAATCGATTTCTCGACAACCGATTATAATTTAATTTCTGTAAAAAAAAAAACACACACACACACACACACAAAATAACAAGTTTTGATAACTTAATCATTTTATTTTCTTTTTTTTCTTGAATGAAATGTTTGAAAAAATTTAAATAATATTGTAAAATAAATAAAAAATTTAATATTATTTTACTATAGTTCTTTTTTTTTTTCAATGCATATTAATGCATATTAAATGTAAATAAGTGAACGCATAAAAAAAAAAAAAAAAAATGAGAGAAGAAAGTTTTGATCTATCGGTTAAAGGTTATCACGAATGAACCTAATGCTCGAATACTTTTTTTTTTTTTTTTTTACCATTTTACATATAAAGATTAGATGAGATGATGTTAAAAACTTTACATACGTGTTTTCTACTTAACGTATGTATTTCTTTCGTAATGATGTAGTAGAATTCGATTGAACATTTATTATCAATGACGATAATGAATCTTCTCATTCCAGTGAATATTATTATTCGTAGAAAAATAAATATCAAAATAGAAAAATAATTGACAAGTAGTAATTATTATTATCAGAAATAAATGAAACTGTAATTTTATATAATTATATTTTCATCTTTTCTTATGTTTTTTTTCTTTTCTTTTTCGTTTTTAGAAAGATTTAATAACATAATGTTAAATAAATGCTTTATATCTAATAATTATACATATATATATATATATATTATACATTTATATAATATTTTATATTAATATAAATAATAATTTAAAATAAAATACATATACAATACTATATATAATATTATATATAATATCTTATATAATAATAAAGTAATAATATAATATATATATAATAATATATAATAAAATATAAATATATAATACTATATTATATATTATATTATATATTATTATATCAATATATAGTAATATTTTATATTATTATAAATAATAATTTAAAATAAAATATATATACAATACTATGTATAATATTATAATATATTATATATTAGTATAACTATATCTTATAATAATAGTGATAATATAATATATATTATTTAAGTATAATTTAAATATGTTCTAGATTATGTAAATTAAATATAATAAGTTCTTTTTTACTCTCTCTCTCTCTCTCTCTCTCTCTCTTTCTTTCTTTTGTTTATTTCATTAATTCAAAGAAAGATGGAAGAATTATCTATTTCGTATCAAAGAAATACTACGTGACTCGATTACTACTTAGAAATCGAATGTGTGTTGTTTTTAATTTTCAACGACATTATGATCTAGAAAAATATTGATAATTTCATAATGACGAGTTATTACGACTAAGACATTCGAGACTGTTCTAGTATACTTTACCCTCTTATTAACATGATTAATAATTCGTATTGATTGTACCGTATTAATCGAAGAAAATAAGAAAAATACAAACAATACGATGGAAACATTGGTATTATACGATAATTAATTTTATTTATTAAACAATATGAATTGTGATTGATGATATGAAACAAAAATATGATTGTTTCAAAATTTGACAAAGTTTTCAATTATCAGGGATACAAAATACTTATATGGGGATCGATGATACAGGTTTATAAACAAATTGTTCTTATTATTTTCTTTTGGTAAATAGTTTGTAAAAAACAAAAAGATAAATGTAAATTGAGATTTTATCATTGTTTTGTTTATTATGAAAAAAAAAAGGAATAATTATAATAACATAAAAACATGTATGTATATATGCATGTATATAAAGATATATACATTCGTATAGTCTCTCGTGCATTATTTTTTTATTATTATTATAACAAATTTTTTTTAAATAATTCATCTCACACACATTCGTACGATTCATTCGTTCTATCTCATTCACCATTTTGCATTTTACAATTCGATCATTCAAAGTAAAAACTATGATTGTTATAAAATATAAATACTATATATTATATATTTATTTTATATATATTATTATATATCTAATATATTATAATTATTATACATATATAATATATTATAATTAATATATATAAAATAATATATATATAATATA